GTACATTAATATGATTACTCCAAAATTGAACTAAATATGCGAGACTATGTATAACTTGTATTAGTCTTGCATTATCACGTTGTAAGACATTTAATATCTTACAATAAGGATATAGAATTTCCGCAATTATTACTAAATTAGACCAAAATAAATCCGATTTGATAATTTTAAAAATATCGGGATGAATTGTAAGCTTTTCACCAGGTTTTCGCCGATTTTGGAAATAGGGTGGTTGAAAATTTATCGCGAGAACCTAATATAAAAATATATTAAAGTTCAAATTAATATATTCTTAAAGTAAAACTTTACAGCTGTTAACATTATTCCTGGGACACATTAACCGAATGATTATTCTGCCGATTTGATAAATTATCGATTTCGGTCTAAAACTTGGTATGTATGAAGGTGCTAATTGATTTGTAAATTAAATTCATGTGAAATTACAAGGCTTCAAACGATCTCTACTTTCACGTCCTAATTAAAGTTCCATTTCAAATTGTAAGATTGTTTGTATTATTCAGGTTGAATAGACGTGATTTTCTTACAAGTGGCGGAAGTCTTTCAATGCATTCATATCTTTGAAGTTGGTTGAAAACTCAACTTATTGAAGATCTGCTAACACAGCAGTTGTTCGAATATGCTTCTAAAGTATAATACTTATCTAGAGTTATATCGATATTGGTTATCTGGTCATTATCGATTAATAATTGTCACTGCTGCACTATAAATAATTGTCACTGCTGCACTATAAATAGAGGTCATTTAAAAGCCTTACAAATCGATTAGCATCTACATATGTACGTACGTACCTGGCTTTAGACCATCTTTGTAAATAATAAACGTTACATTGATCATACCGAAATCTCATTCGGTTAATTTTTCACAATTTCGAAAATTTTAATTCGGCCAGGTTATAAAAGTGCTTGAAACTAATTTAATATACCTCTAATGCTTTCTTGGTTCTCAAAAGACTAGTTACAAGCTGATAGTAACTATTCCATCTGGTTTCACTCGGAATTGCTATGCTATAATACTTTTTGTAGATTATTTTTTGTTGATCACGTAATTGTCCTATAAAATATTTATTATTTGCATTCTTAAAATATATTGCTATCTGAATCGCTTGATCCATTGTATTTTTTAAATCCGTCGATTCCTTAAAAACTTCACCTATGCAAAGATTTAATTGATGCGCATAACAGGGGATGAATACAATATCTCTGTGATTAAGCCTTAATCTTCGCCTAATAAATATAAAAAAATATATATGGTATTATTAAATTAGAGACTAATATAAATTAACAAAAAAAAAAATTACCTAGCCGCAGCATATGGCCCCGCACTATCTGTAACAATTGCATTGATCTTTATATTTAAGTTTTTTAATTCATCAATCATTCCTTTTGTTTTTTCCATTACATTAATGTAACTTTCCCTCTCTACACTAACATCTACCGCCTTCCAGGTATAGGGTTTCCCTCCAGAAGTTACTATCATTACACCCATTAATTGTTCATTATTAACGTTCGTCCACCCGTCAAATGTTAAAGTAGTACCAATTTTATCCTCATGAAGAGCTTCATACATTCCATTATTATATATAGAAACAGCTGTATCTAAAATTGGTCCACCAAGGGTTCGACGGTCTGGAAGATTTATAAGAGGATTCAAGAAATCAAACAGTTCATGCGTCTCTGGCTTGTTTATCCAATTAAAAGACCAACCGCAAGATATTGTTAATCTTAACAAAAGAACCTTAAATTTTTCATAATCTTGCCGCGATAATGGTCTAACAGAATAGTTGTCAAGTAGGCCAAAAGAAGACGATCGTACAATAACCTTTCGGTTAGACGATTGTGATGAATTAGACGTGGTATCATATGGTGAACCTGATAAAGTTAAATATATTAATATATCTTTTCATATAGCTTAAAATAGACTTTTTTTTTTATTCTTACTTGGTCGCTTAGTTTGTTCATTATTGGATAAATCAAAAACTTTTTTTCTTTCCTCGGGTGTTGTTTGTTGCGTAAAATGTACACATTTTTTGAGATGTGTAACTATCCTATCCGTTTTATTTGGAAAAAAATTTTGCTTCCCCTCATTCTCGCCCAATACATTAATACACGCCTTACAATAAACTTACTGTTTATCATTATTAATTTTTTCCTTGTTTTAAAAGTTATATCTTTTTATCAAAACCGGTAATGGAAATATACTTGGTTTTTTTTTTTTTTTTTTTTTTTTTTTTTTTAGCTAGCAACTGTTTTTTTAAAAAAAAAAAAAAAATTTAGCACCAAATACAAGCTTAGTGGGGTATAATATGACTTCGGTACGTTTATACGTAGTAAAAAAAAAGTCTGATAAATTTTTGGGTTATTTATTAGAAATTTTCAAATTTCTTGAGAAAGGTAAACCTTATGAGAAAACAGACGTGAACTTCAGCTTTGCATCATATGTTATTACATGCGTTATCGGCCCATTCATTAATCAGGTTTTATGTATTATCTATTATCGACTCTATTCATTAATCAAGTTCTTGTACTTTAGCACATTCGATTTTGTTCATTAGGCAGGTTTTATGCATAGTGCTAAGTAACAATCATTTATTTTTGGCATTACGCCAGAGTCCTTGGATTTTTGTAGCGCTATTTTGTAGCAAAATAGCTAGCAACAATTGTCTTGTACTAAAATGCGAAATTGGCTAAACGATTATTACTTTTGTTCTTGAACTGATTTACATAAATGATTATATGCATATTTTAGATAATGACCGAGAACTCATTGAAATGATAGATAAAGAACTCGCAGAAGAAAAATATGATTTATACTTAATAAATACAGTATATAATAAGCTATATATTTTGCAATTTCACTAGCTATTTTTGCTAACTCAATGTCCGGGGTCCCTGCATTACGCACATTAATCAGGTTTTATGGGATACTTTATTTGGTTTAGCAAAAAACAAATAAAATATACTGAAAAAAGTGAACGGGGCCTATGTGTTATCATTTGACTCTATTCATCAAGGTTCGTGCATTATCGACTTATTTGACTTTGTTCATTAAGCAGGTTTTATGCATTATCTCAATACATACGTCGTACTTTTTTTGATTATCATCGTGATCTATAGGGGACTTTTGATAAAATCGCGTAAACTACTTACGTACCATTATCGCGCTCAAAGACTTTCCTTTCCTGAGAAATTCCCATGATTTTTGAACGAAGTAGAATATACACCTTATTAACCACATATGAGTGGAAACTAACTTCAGAATTCTTTAGAAATTATTATGTATACCCTCATCCTGATCTGAAGCTACTAACATTCTGATTTTCTAACACACATATATATTAACCATAAAGTTAACAAAAGTAGATAGTATAAGGAAGGTCCGGGTTAACTCAAAACGTAGAAGCGAATGAATGCTTAATGGTATCTCAGTATGCTGTTAATGGAATCGTCATAAGCCTTTAAGAACAGAATTTCAAGATCTTACCTGCTAAAATTACTTTTAACACAGAAACAAAAGGTATTAACACGCTAGAGATGCTAATTGAAACCTTTTGATGGCAAGCTATTTGATGATAAACTGCAGTAAAGATTTGCGCTGGATGGTAGCCTGAATTGGTTCTTGAAATTTCGAATTTCTAAATTGAATTGGTGAAGAAACGTATGAATTCTGATCCACAAAATGGCCTACTGCTGTTGATATTGATGCTTGTTGAAAACTTATAGAATAGAATAAAATCCTATTACAATGCAGATGAGGTTAAAAAAATTCTTAGATGCAAATAAATAGCCAATATCACAACATTATTATTGATTCTTTGAAGCTTCTGGTAAGTACTATATTTCATCTTCTAGCTAACCCTTTCCACATAATTTCTTTTATGTACTTATTTATACTACATACATATCTATTTAATCTAGGTGATCAAGTATTGTTTAATTATAGGCATTTAGAGTTTTCTATACACCGATTATTAGATTGAAGGATAAATGAAGCGCTGGTTATAATCATTTCGCTTAAATAAAAAAATAGCGTTAAACTAGCATAATTATTTATAAGGCGAAGAAGTTTCAACAGAGTAGCTCTTTAGAGCTGAACGAACATCCATATTAGTAAACATCATGCCAATTCGCAGTGCTTTACTTGACATCATAGTGGTTTGTTATAACAATAAGTAATTTTATGCAAAGAAAATGCAATTTATTAAATTTAAAAAAAAATTATTTTCTTACTAATTTACAATCGATAGCTACATTTTTTTATATGTTTAATAACTATATTTTTTGATGCTTACATTTTTTATATACTAATAACGATCACATTGAACCTTTTGCTTCCAGAATCAAAAGCTTGAATTAGCAATGCAAATTAAGGATAAGGTTGCAATTATAACAGGTGGTGTGAATGGATTTGGTGCTGCCTTAGCTCGACGATTTGTTCGTGAGGGGTTTGTTGAATAGATTAAACGTTCAATCTTTAATGTTAAAGGTAATGCGTAAAGGGTTTGATTTATTATAAGTACAAGAAAGTTTATGTTACATGGATAGCAGGGAATAAATCAATATACTCTGGGTAGTTAGGTATAAGCGAAAATTACTGGAAAAAGTATAGCTGATATATCGGCCAAGTAAGAAATTGATACGCTAGTTATACTTTCCTAGTAATTTCGCTTATACCTAACTACCCAGGCTATAACTATTACAAATTCGCTTATCTATAATTAAACAAACTTGTTGTAAAAAAAAAAAATAATAATAAATTAAAAGAAAGAACAAATAAAAATGATTAATTATGAAAAAAAAAAGTGTATAGCGATAGATCTACATTTACCAATATAAATGATTGACGTTTAGATATTAGACAATTTTAGGCAGACAATGTCCACCGGACGTCCGGTGTCCGCTATAAACCTGTGGACAATGTCCGATGACAATTTACATTTTTGGACATGTTGCGGACGCGGACATTGGACAGTGTCCAAATATGTCCGTGTCCGGGAAATATGCGCGGACAGTGTCCATGTACATCACTGCTAAAGGTATTGTTGATATTAATATGTTTTGAAGTTAGGGTACAACTTTAGAGTAAGATAGAAGTTAGATATAAAGGAGTTAGTATAAGGTTTTTGGTATTCTGAACATTTTTACTTAATATCCTAAAGATATATTAGCTAGCAACTATAGTATTTAACACCTATGATATATTTTAGTAAACCCAATTTTTTTAACCTCTCTATTTTATTAAAAAAAACACAAAAAAAACATTATTTTTGTAAAACTTCTCTTGTATAATGTTATTTATGGATGTCCCCTTATTAACAATATATTGTTAGTAATAAGTATACATTATTCAGTAAAAATTTTTAAATAACAGTAATTTGGTTCAACTAAACAAATAAACATGTGCTACAAAGTGACATGTGCCAGCCAATCATTTGCCATATTGAGCCAAATTACTGTTACCATATTATCGAAATAACATGCAGGGATGAAATTACAAATTTCAGTCTAAATTAAGCTTAATTCAGGCCGAACCTCGAAATAACGTAACCAGGGTAAAATCACCACCCAAAAAAGTTTCAAACATCATATAACAAATATATCGAGCACCAAAAATTCATGTAACTTAAACAAAAAACACAAACGAAAAAAATTTAGACTAACAAAATAATTCATGATAAGCAATAAATTAATCATTTTATTTATTTATTTAATAAATGTAATATTTATTATAACCAGAAAGTATGATTACAGTTTTCTAAGTATTTAGACTATTCTATTGCTTTTTAAAATGATTATTCTCCAATTTATACAATGACTCAAAGTATTTATTAATACTATTGAACCATTTGTTACTATTTGGATTTATTATATTTTTTTCAATATTTTTTTTTGTTTCAGAATTATAAAAACTTTTTGCTAAATAAATAATCAGTTATAGTCTTCCAGAAGATCATTAAAAATAAAATCTACAAGGTTTTTTGCAATTACATTGTCTTAATTAGTTTTTATAATTTTATTTCGATTTCATTCGTTTTTTTTTCATTTATTATTAGTGGAAATTTGGTTACAGCAATCAATATATATTTTTAGATTATTGTAGTTATTGAATTTTATACTTTAAAAAAATCACTTGGTTTGTCAAGATTGCAATGATCGGTTTTTATTTTGAAAAATCAAAGAAAATAAATCACTAAATTAATTATGATCCTAATCATGATGAATGGACAATATCATATGATTTTTGAAACTTTTTTGGGTAGCGATTTTATCCCAGTCAAATAACACCTATGATCATTATTTCGCAGTAATATAGTATTCAAAAATTTGCTGAATAATGGTGTTATCTGATAATTTATGATCATGATTGGTAGGGAGTCGTTGGTTGAGTTTTAATTCGAGTAAATGTAAATATTTCATAACACATTAAAAAAATAACAGACAGAAATAAATTTATGATTATAAGTAGAGATAGGAACGGCTTATAATAAGCTAGCTTACTCATAGCTTTTAAGCTGAGCCAAGCTAAGCTAATAAGCTAGCTCAAGCTAATCTTATTTTAACTAAATATATTTATATTACTTGTATTATTACAATAGTTTATAAGAATTTTTTATAATAAATTACTATAAAAATTATATTTATTTTAAGGATGAATCTAATTGTAACAACTTGTTATATGCTTATTTGTAACAATTTAATTAGTACAACCAATAAAAATAATCAAATATTTGTATAACCCAAACCCTAACTCTAATTATTATTGGCTAATATGAGGTTGTTATATGTAATAGGTTATTACAAGAATATTTATTCTTATTTTAATATAAAACTAATATAACTATATCAAAATAATTTGTATTATTATAATACTCTTAAGTGTCTTAATTAATAAATCAAAAATATTATATAAAATATTACAAAAATAAAAAATACTTAATCTTTTTTATATATTCCAATATTATTTTTATCCAACTTTTTAAGCAAAGTGATGCATGAGCAATATCAGGATTAAGTTGATTGCGAAGTTTTAAAAGTGTAATTGAGGCAGTAGAAAATATTTCTTTACAAGGAACACTAGATCCTTGAATTGCAAGATAATCTTGTACTATTTTAGCAAGTATTGGAAATCTATATTTATTATTATCCCACTATTATAAAGAATTATTATTAATAGTTAGTATAGATAAATATTTTTCTAACTCTTCTGTTAATAGTGGTGTTTCAATTGTTTGCTGTATTATTAATGATATAATTTTTTTTATTTATTATCAAATATTAATTTAGAAGTATTAAAAGTATTATCTGCTGGTATTGATTTATATTGATCAATTATATTCTGCAAACTAGCAAAAATAATATTTTTTTCATCATTATTCTGAAATGTTAATAGCTTTGATGTTGGGTCAAGAATTGAAGCTATTTTTTTTTTTTTTGGTGTTAAGGTGGCCTCTTGGCCGGCTCCTTTTATTCAGTTATAGTTAACTTTACAATATGCATTTATAGCATCTCGTATACATATTTGGAGAGTACATACTAGTTACACATACAA